TTTCCAGTGTAATTCAAGAACCATCCCAGAGCACACATTATTTACTGTTCTTTGGTTTTCGGGGTGTGCAGCTTGCTTCTTTGCTGTTCTTTTCTACCTTCTTGGGCAACTTAAGTGTTAACTGCATTCGCAAGTGGACAAATGTCATGCTATAGTATTTCACATTTTTCTTTACCAGTTTTTATGCAAAAGGGCCTTTCCTTTTTTAACTGCATGATAATATTTTTAATAAAGTGTTCGCGCTGAGAACTTCCAGTCTTCTTAACTTCAGAATTCGTAACTTTCAAATGCCTTCTGTTTCAGCAGAATATCAGCCGGGTTTGGAATCAAACATAACCTTGGAATGAAAAATAGTCCCGTAATTTTCATCACATTTTGTTCCTGTTCTTTAACATTATCACCTTTATTTTGTTTCTGTTCGTTAACATTCCGGATCTCCTGCTGTTTCTTTCTTTTTTTTGGAATCTATCGTATGAATCAATAGCCAATTGTTGCAGATCAATTACTTATGCATAAAAGCATGCAAACCTAACCTCAGTGTGTTGTCGTTTCCACTGAGTCGCAGGTCTAATCTTTTTGATAATAAAAAGCACGAGGAAGGAACTTTGTGAAAAAAATTACTAATTGCGTTAGTTGCATGGCACTGATCATACCGGGAGCTCAAATGGGTTGCTTGTACGGATTGGGGATCTTTCAGTGATGGGGTTACGAGGAAAAGAAATATTCGCTTTAATTCCTTGATCAGCTGTTACTGATTCAGTTGGCAACTTCTACATTCTCAGTCTTGTACCGTCCCCATATACAGTTCCATATGGGCGTTCGAGCGAATCCTTCTAGCTTATTGGCATCCTTCCCTCAGTGTTCGCAGTGTGCGAGTACCACTTTTTGTTCCGCTTTGTTCGTCTTCTACCCTTTACTGTCACAGGACTAGCCCATCTCTTCTCCCTTGGTGTACGTTGCCTGGACCAGTATTATCATTCACGTCACACTGAAGCCTTCTGCAACAAACTGGCACCTACTATGTGTTGTTCCATGGCTGACTGTACCAGTACTAGCTGTTCCCGGTCAGCAAGCGCTTTATTCTGTGTTTACTTGCCGTAGAATGGAGAGGTAACAGCAGAACTGGAAAGTGCCACGCGTTCGCCCAACTCATCTCGCTTCTTCCTCTAGCTTCCTCTTTTTTATGCATTTTGTGCTGCAACAGTTGCACGAGGCACATACGTGTGTGTGTGTGTGTGTGTGTTCGGAGGCGAGTGAACTTTGTCATCTGCTTTGAACTTAGCAACTGGGAAGGCCAGAAGGCTGAAATTATAGGAGTACATTTTCACCGCATCTGTCACCTTCCCTTTTTAAAATCAACACTTATGCGCATATAAATCTCGCGTATTGACATCGGAAAAAATATGTAAACTTCTTGGTCGGAAACGATTTCGGGAATTGGTAAACGTGGGAAGTTAGAATTTTGCGACGGTATTCTTTGAGCTAAATGTTCCAAATTCAGTTATCGCACATAGTGTGTTATGCACACAAACACATCAAAATACGTAGCTAGCACCTACCAGCTCGAAAATTAGCGAGAAACAATAGCTGTAATTTTGCTAGAATGTTGTTCTTTCATCTGGGAAATCGCGTGCTTTAATGGAGTTTCGAATTGCATTTGCGCCAAACCTTAGAGCATGTCAAAAATATTTGTAGCGAAGTGTTGGTTCCGGGTACCGGATAAGCTACGAACTTTTATTCGTGCGTGGTCTAAATTCAGCTTGAAGGCCGAATTCCCTGCACGTAGACAAGACAAGTACTCAGTTTTGTTGCAGCCTGAAAAACAAATGCAGTTTTTGGGCTTTGTTGTTCTTCTCTCCCAAATTGTCCGTTGTGTGCAATTTCATTGGAAATCACTAATCTCTCATATGCATAATTCATGGTAATTATGCATGCTGGAGACTAAGATATCATGCCGCCCCATGATGCAGCAATATAGTCCTAGTCGACGACCTTTTTCGTCTTCACATAGAAAAAAGCCAAAACACAGCCAACATGAGTCCACG